CCCCCCCTCTTTTCCTACAACCAAACCTACTGTCCAACCTCTCCAACGTCCCAACTTGCACCCTGCCGCCTCCCTACCACTTTCCCTGAAGTGTCGTAACCCTCGTACCACCTTCTCTAGCAACTAGCGCCACCTCCTCTTCCTCCTACAATTGTTGCCAGCCCTTCTTCCCGATCCTGACCACCTTGTCACTGACAAACTTCTCTTAACTCTTCCGTGCGGCTTTAACACTCTTCTTTAGTACTAAATTAACCTAAAATTTGCAACACTTGAACTTGTAAGCACCAAAACTCTCTAGGAAGAAGTGATGAAAAAGTATTGAAGAAAGAAACACATCACTAAGGAATGAAAGATTACACTTGGTTGCTTAGTAATCTTGGATCAATACAAATGTGGGGGAGGGACTCTTATTTACAGTCCTCTCCCAGGACGTGGGAACTTTTTGGATTACATTAGAGAGATATTCCCAAGATTAAATACACAAACATGAAATAAATAGATCAGAATTAATAATGAAAAAGAATAATAATTGAAAAAATTCTTAGAGTATTTGTAATTTATGACTTAGACTATATAAGAGGTCCAAAGGGCTAACTGATTAAATTATCTGGGGTTTAAATTCATTTAAAAAAAGGAAGAATCGAAGTGACTGCTGGGAATAGCAAAGGGACACATTTACATATGCTCCAAAATACCGAAAAAAAAAAAGCTGAAAAAATTGGGAAGTTCCTGTAATTTTTTTCACCTCATTATATTTTTCTATTCCCTTGATAAGGATGTATTTCTTTCTTTTCTTTATGTTTTTTTTAATGTTTTCCTCAATTTTTCTGTTGTTCCTTTACTAGTCTCCGTTAATTTACTCTTGAGTGTTATTACTTTTATTGAAAATTCCCACAATTTTTTTTTTTTTGTATTTTTTGTCTTTCTATGAACAGTTGTTATTTCATCTGGCAATGGGCCAGACACCTTTTAGAGCTTTACTGTTTTGTTTTTCAGGAGGTTGTTCAATTTGTATCTTCCATATTCTTGCAAAGATTGCTTCAACCTGGGATTTGTCATAATGCTGCTTTACGTGCTATGCTTCTTGATCAGAGGAAGTACCTTTCTGATTTTGAGTTTCAGTCTTTCTCTTCTGCTGACTTAAGAAAAGAGGTTTTCACAGTTGTGAATGCTGAGGTAACATCATTTTGAATGCCGTAATATACTTGGGATGTGAGTTCTCTCTAAAAATTTCCAATGACTTTTGCTTAGTTAAATTCTGCAAATTCAAGTTCAGTGGTCTGCTGCTGGAAGGATTTTTGCACTCGTTATTTTCGGTACTGGTGTCAGTATAATGTGCCGTATGGATTGTTCTTTGATACTTCAAACAACGTACTTGGTTTGATCAGGAAAAATTCCTTCTCACTTTTCCGTTCTTTGGAAGGAATTGAGAAGCTTATTTATGGTCAGGTTTCTTTTTCAAGCACTTTGGTTATTTGGATGCCAAATTGATATATTTTGGCCATAAATAAGAACTTTATGTAACTATCTTTCAGGTTCTTCTGATGAATTTCATGAATTGAAAAGTGGGTTGCTTTTACCCACAGACAATGTTGAGAGTGAAATGCTTTATGAAATTCTTAGATGCACGAGTCACATAAATCATCAGATAGGAAGAGCTGCTTCTGCTGTTTTCTATGAATCTTTTTTTGTGCCCTCAATATCAACTGAAGACGTCATTTTTCACTTGCTCAAGATCCTGGAAACTGGATACTATCCATTGCTGTCAGCGCAGGCTGGTGAAGATGCTACTTCTGAAAAGAGGCAATCTGCTCATAGAAGCTTGAGGAACTTTTCAGTGGATATGTTGCTCTCTTTTCATGCTTTGCATTCTAGGGCTACAAACTGGGCTGGAGTGTTAGATGTTTTTGAAAAATACCTTGAGTATTTGAAACCACATAGAAGCAGCCAGAAGTCCGAGTCCGAAGGAAATTGCAGTGTCAATTTTTTCTTGTTGGTTCAGGCTACTTCACAAGTCGCGAGGGTGATGTTTGAGACAGCTTTCGATGTACTTTTGCTTCTTGGCTATTTGATCAATGCTAGTGGGCAGGTATGACTTTGACAATGAAACCTCATAAATGAGAATATAAATAGATTGGTAAGTTATGTGTAAATATTCAATTTCGCTTACCTTTGCGCATAGTAGACTATTGCATACTGCCATCACGATAATGAAACTTTTTGCAGAACATTGCCCCATTTTGACTAGGCACCAACATATGCAGGTCTCAATGATGCAAGGTGATATTACCAGAATAAAAGCTAAATTGATTCCCGCGGCTCTTGAAATACTAACACAATGGCTGGTTCTCCACTTTATGGCAACCACTTCAACTAGTCCTTCAGTTGTGGATGATTTCAGCTCCCGTCTCTCTTTGTTGCAGATAGGTTATTAAATTCTCCACTGTGACTCCCTCTTCTACCGTATTTTAATTGCACTATTTTAGCACGTTAGGATCTTGCATTCAAACGATGTCATAAGAAACCCCAGGGACAAATGGATTACTTTGGATGAGTGCATTACAACTTGATCACTTCTTCATTGTATAAGGCATTGATAAACATTCATGCTTCTCTTTGTGGATTACTACACTTAGTGGATTGAAATTTTGCCGCTTGAAGATGGGTTCTACCTTTTTGAGGACTGAGATTAGTTGTCTTATTTCTTCACCTCTCACGTTGCTGACATCTTTTGGACACAACATTGTAGATTAGGGCACCCTTCTAAAAATATTTAGTGTATATTTTTTTCTCTTTTTATAAATACAGACATTAAAAATTTCTGCTGTGAAACTTGTGAAATCATTAAATATCATCTTGTTTTCTTTTCTAAAAGCAACTTTGGATCCTCTAGACTTTTGTGTTCATCCATTCTAATATTTATGTACCCAATAAAATCTTTAATATAACTTGAGTAATATATTTTTTTACAGATAACTGCGCTCGAATTATATTATTATATTGAATTAAACAAAAATATGATGTTAACACTCTACTACCTGTATTCACTATCATAATAAAGAAATAATTAATTCAACCCTAATCTCAAATTTTATTGGAATAATAATACATGTGATTGTTTTAATGTCACAATATTTTTTCTTTCAAAAAGAGTGTATTATTCACCAATTTTTCTAGCTTGACTTTAATGCTGGAGCATTCCTATTCTCGACGCGGGAGTCGCGCAAACAAAGCAGAGGCCCGCCTGCTTCGCTTGGACCTAATCGGTCCAGGTTTTCTCCCTTTGGAGGAATGGACCGGTCTTTTTGAGTTACTTATAGTTATCCTCTTATTATATATTTGTTTTCAGATGAATCTAGGGTTAGTTTTTTTTGCGTGAGTTTGTCTTAGAGACAGCAGCTAGAGTCTGTTTTCTCCCTTCGAGGGTTGTATCTAAGGGTTTGGGTGGTGCTCCAGCTGTATCTCTCCCTCTCTCTCTCGAGGTGGTGATCATCTTTCCCACCCCATTTCACATTCTCCCCACGTCGCTCCTGGCCAATCTCCATTGCCGCAGTCGCCGTTGTTCATCTTTCAGAAGTTTCTCGATGTCCAACCATCATCCTTGCTGCCACAACCCCAGAACAACTCTCCTTTGGCTGTCCTCACACTGCCACTGCCATTCTTGCTTGCCGCCACTGCCCAGAAGCATTCGTTCCTAACCTTTTTCTGTTGTTTGTGTCGCCCGCTCATCTATTTCCATTATTCCATCTTGTTGACATTGCCTCAATTCCTCCCCTTCATTGTCGTCGTTCTCCTCCCTTGCTACCATCCCTCTCTCCATTTCTCTCTTACTACCTATTATAAATATTTTGTTTGCTAAGTTAGGGTTTAGTTCTGTTTATTTTTGGATTTCTCCCTCCAAGCATCTCATTAGTTAAAGCTGTTTCCAATGGCAGGTAGTGCTCCGGATGCATCCTGCTCCGAGGTGATGATTATCTCCTTGATTTTCGGCACACCTCCCCTTCTTCTTGCTCTTGCTGCCAACTACCCTCTTCCCTCTTTTTTGTTCCAGCCTACAAAGCAAAAGTCTAAAAGAATAGCAAAAATATATGCATAAATCGTCTCATATTAGAAATGGTTTAATTAGGATTGAAGAATTTGTAAAATAATAAAAAAAAGGAAAAACAATCATGCATAAACTAATAATGGGATGGAATTGCAATGTTCAATTCTTTTTTGATCGCATAAATAATGTTGTTGCAGGTATCACGAAAATGCCACAATCGGGATCGTGGGATTGCGACTGAATCACATAATTCTCATGATCGGAATCACATGCACTTAGGTTGTTAGAAGGGGACTCTCAGACAACACCGAGTGCCCATGGGGATGTACGAAGCCGGAGAAAAGGACCATCTTTTTACTAATTGTTTGTTTTTTTTTTGCGGGACTAGAGATATTCTACAATCCTGGGGATTCTCTATGCCACTATTCAACAAATTTAATGAGGCCTTTGACAAGCTGAGTAGGATGCCAAATGGGGAGTTTCACATGCTAGATGCTTTTTTTACATTGTTCGCTAGTGCTGGAGGGCCCAAAATGCAAAAGTTCATAAACATACCCATGGCATGCCGACAATCATTGCAGTAAATATCCTTGAAGCACTCACCAACTCGTCACTTCATCCATTTCTAGAGCAATGGGATGCCACGCGCGCGCACAAACACACACACCACCCTGTTGACCTCATTTTTAGTGAGGTCTAGTCTTACTCTTAGGGTTTAGGATCTAGCCTTAGGGATCTATCTTCGACTTTCTTAAACCTTAGAAATGGGACCCGCCTCATTTTAGAAATTCAACCCGCTTCTGTACTCTTTTGTGGTTCCAAGTGTGTGGTATCGACTTCTAGCATTTAGAAGAGTGAAACCAACATGAGGAAACCCAAAAGGGATCCCTATAGGACATTCCTGAGCCTTAGGGTGACCTTTTGTACAATTTGCACTCCCGCGCGCACAAACTTTGTAATTCGGAGAGTCGACACTTCCAATCGCCTCGATCCGCTTTGTTTGCACTGTTACTTATTGAATGTTCGAGTTAACCTTTTGAAACGATCGATCACGGGTCGAAATTTTGTGAAATTTGAATTTTGACGCGTTTTTGACCCGATTGTCGACGACATTGTCTGAGCGACCCCGGATGACAAAACAGAATGAAAACTTTTAGAGTTGCATACTTTGATGTTCTCCTTTCTAATTTTAAGTTTGATATTCTACTAAAATAAATCGAATATAATTTAATGTATATATATATATTTATATATATACATATATAT